CAGTGTTTATGTGTGTATCGAATATCATGCACGCTGATGATGAATGGATGAATTGAGCGAGTGATGTATATTAACATAATATATGTTTTATAGCTGGGGATAATATATTAATATGTGGGATAACTATGCTTATATATGTTTGTTAGTTTCATATGTAGCGATAACGATAGATATATTTACATATAATAGTAATATAATTGAATTCAATGATAATAAAAATTGAATTTAATGATAACAGTTGAAGATAAATCATATAACTCTTGCAATAGCTGAATTGTGGACAGAAAAATGAGGGGTGCCCGATTTTGCACGTTACAAGTTGATCCCATTTCTTAAGTTCTTGCTAAATATTGCTTCTCTGAACTTAATCACCATTAGCAAACTAACCAAGAGTTCCGGAATTTTTATCGAAATTTCTTCTTAGCAATCTCGTTTAAAACTATGATTTCTACTCTCGCTCAATTTTCTTGTTTTTTTCCGATCTATTCTCGTCACAACGTTATTCCTTTTTCTACGGATGAGATTAACTAACTCAGTTACTATAGAGTTGTATTTGGAACAAATATTACCAGATATAACTACTTGTTACAGTACACATACATATAATTCTGTCGTATGTTATGTGTTAATAAAATTGACTTCAATATACGATGTGGATTTTAAGCCAACAACAGTTTTAATTTAAAGTTTGGTTTTATTCCTCGCGCTATTCAAATAGCAAGTGAACGAACAATATAGTTTTGTGTTCATTTCTACGCTGTAACTATTTTTTATTATACATGGAATTTTAAAACAAATGTTCGTGGAAACTCTTGCTAAAGTTTGTAATTCTAGTGCAAATTTGTTCCGATCGTAAGCTATTTGGCTTTCCTCTAATTTGACGTTAGTTGTCACATCGCACCATTTTCAATTCAAAATTTCGCTTAATGAGCCATGTTCGCGTCACTTCCGCCAAACTTTACTTTTCCTACTTAATTCGTAAGATACTAAATCCTTAAGTGTAATGTACTTAGAAGCGTTATGATATCCAAGGCAAAAATAACAAAGCACAAAGTACACGAACCATTAAGTGGGCAGCATGTTTGCCTTTAAGCTTTGTAGATCACCGCTTTCAAAAGTTGTACGCGAGTAACAAAAAGAAATTGAATTGTACCGTCTTTGTGCAAATCAATCCACACTTTTTTTTTTAAATTGGGAAACCAGTGACAATTATTATCCTATAACGATAGCAACTCTGATCGTTTTTTTGGATCGCTGCTGAGATTTTTTTTTCTTTTTTTCGTTGAAAGACTTTTGTATTATATTTCTCTTATTGAGTCCATTATTGTTGGTCATATTTTCATCCTCAATTTGATTTAACTAATTGATAACATCTAAGAATTTGCAAGATATTACGTGTTTGCAAAAATTTTGATCACTTGTTCACGTGAAAAATTTATTGTAGAAAATTTGTTTCTGCAACAGTGTTTGCTGCGCAACTTTTGAAGCAAGTGGCCAAAAAGTGGTATATTCAGTCAAAACGTGTCGCTACGTCTAAACGATTTAAATCAAAACCTACAACTGGAATATTATTGAGCAGTATCACCATAAATAAGCCTTTGAATTTGGAAGATGAATTTTGAGCTTTCCATGATTAGTGACCGCTTATACAGAATAAAGCAATATTATTAAATGAACAACCGCTATTTTATGAAGAGAAAGGTGAAAACCATCTAATTCAAGCATTATGTACACTAGTATTTCCCGTTTCTTTACAATTTTTACCTGTAGAAGTCGCTGATCAAAATTTTTGCAAACAGCTAATAAATGGGAAAAAATTCGTGTTTAAATCGCAGTTTAGCCACATTGCATTCGTTTTGACGAGTTCTTTACTATCATTTTTTTTCATTTCTATTTCCATTTCTCAAAATTAAATTTATTATTAACAAACACTTTAATAACCTTTTTCTGCTATTTCAAAATATGAATAAAATATTCGTTACTGGATTTTGTTGATTTTTGGGTCATAATCCATTCACTTTAAAAACTACAGCGTGCTATATAATCGCCACTGCGCTGGAAGAAAATTGTATTCAAGAAACTTAACGAAAGAAAAAACTCAGTCATTTCAAGAAACGCCAATCCAATGTTTGCAGTGAATATTATTCGTCAAAACTCAAGAAACAACTGTCAGATCTACACAGTCAAGCCAGCAAAGTGTAGTCTACGTACTCAAATTTTGTAAAAGGCTGACAGAATGACGAGTCATGTTCGTTTTTGAGTTAAAAAGTTGTGATAAGCACAATGGGCAGCTGCGCTACCAGATTGTTTTACGGGAAAATATAAATAAGAACATATGGTTTTAGAACCAAAAAGAAAGAATTAATCTAAAACGTAAACAATAGATTCATAAAAACTAACGTTAAGAAACTAAACACTGGACATATAAGCCACAAATCTATTGGCTTAGTCCATCTCCTTGTTCAACATACCAAAAAAAAAAAAAAAAAAAAAGAAACTAAACAAGCTTGTTTATCGATTAGTAATAACGAAGTTTGATTAGATATTTGTAGAAATATATATTAGATATATTTTTGCGTATTAACTGATCCATAATTTGAAAACTACTGTTTATCACTCTCTAAAAAACAATTTAATAGATATGTTTCAACTTTAAGATCAATGGTGTTTATTGCTTATTTTCATTTCTTATAAAATACAGTAAAAGTTCCTTATTCGTGGGTGAAAAAAATGCGACCAATTCACATATTCGCGGCCATAAATTTCTTTATTCGCGGTTTTTGAGAATGTAAACAAACGGAATGAAAGGAACTTTATTACTCATTGAATAAAGTATTGTTGCGAAAATCCCAAACCTAGTTCATTTCAGCTAAGTAATTTTCCCAAATAACAAATTGCCTAAAGAGGGAAAAACTAAACACATATTAAATTGATTTCTTTTTATTTTGTCACCTAGGAACGTATCCCCTATAACCCTATATAAATTACCATTCCGTATTCACGGTTTCAGTATTCGCGGCATTTTTGTGGAACGTATCCTCCGCGAAAAAGGAACTTTTACTGTAATGAATGGTAACCCAAATTGTAAATCACCTAATATTATAAAAAATTTACGTTAATGTAAGACAGCTATAATTTAGATAAATAATTTCTAAATTTAAAATAAATTGGATTGTTGTTTCTTGTTCGTTCTTTTCTTTTTGTTTTATTTATATGTATAAAAGCAAACATCTGATTTGTCAATTCCCATAAAGTTTGTAAAGAGTTGGCAAAGCAGGTGTCTCAAGTAAGAACAACGTCTCATTGTGTCCGCCCCATTAGAGAAGAAATTTAGCGAACCCAGCAGGCTTTCTCAGCTAAGTCCAGTGAAGTCTCCGATGATTTAAAATTTGAAGCAAACTCATGAAACAGTCGTGGAATCCACATAGTCCACAATGACTGACATTATTATTTTATGGTTTTCACGTATGCAATAGTTATATTTGTCAGCAAGGACTCTGGTCCAATTTTATACGAAAAGTCCAGAACCAAACAACTGGACGAATACTTGTTGCATTCACTAAATTGCCGATTGGAAGCTTACTATGAGCAACATGGTTAAAAGGTCACGATAAAATTCTTTGCCTGTTGTTTTTCTCTCTCGTTTGCCCTTTATCTTTTTAAACAATCGACTTATTTACACATTAAGATCTTGCAGCTGCAACCTTTTATGTCCAGAAAGTGACTGGAACAAAATTTATTGTGTAGACTATATATAGTTGTATATTATATAATTGATTTGAAGTTATATCATTGCATTTTTTTAGTTATAAACTATTGTCTCGGTATTCTTCAATATACTGAATAAATTAATTGCTTTCACAAACGTACATGCATACATACATGTTATGAATAGCATTTTAAAAGGACTTACTTACGATTTCGTTCTAATATCACATCTTGTCAATCAGACGATCACATCATCAGCAATTTTCAAGAAGAAAAAAATCACACAATATTATTTGTTTATAGACTTTTATTGTGAAAATTATACATAATTTTCGTTAAAATATTTTAATTTGTTCTAAGGAAACTTCTTCCAATGTAAGTAGTATTTACAAATTGTGAATTATTTTCACTTTTGGCTGAACAGTACTCAATTAACCATACAGGAATTAAAGACATTTTAATTACATAGAGGTTTAAATAACTATTGTTCGTAAATCATCCACATGGATTAGTAAAGTATGCGTACGGTTTCCTGTTTATCCCAGCTGCCGCCAAAATATATTTGCAACACAACAAAAGGAAGGGAAAAAATGCTTCTACTAACACCTTATAACCAATCTATAAAATGTTTCGAAATAAAATTTTGGTAATAACAAACATTGGGGATAAAACTTTTTAAAAATATAGTCCCGACCGGTTTGCTACTATGCCTACATTGAACAAAAAATTGACTTTCCTTGTGCATTAAAGATGCACTCAATGATAGAAAGTCAGCTTTTTTGGTTTTGTTAAAGGTAAATATTCGTTAAAATGGAGCGTTAAATTTGTAATTGTCAGTGCATTATTGTTATGTTAAGATAACTTCCGTTCATAACAACATATACAAAACTGAAATTGTAACTGGCACTACGTGGTATTGCTTCCTAAAGTGTTCATTAAAGACAAAATGGGATAACAAGGTTGAATGCATTACAATGGGACATTATAACGAGTTTTGTGAAATGTATTGTGCTTAGCAGTTGCAGTAAAAACTTGTAAAAACGTTATGTTTGCTTAACGGCCAATGTTCACCACATCGATTCAATATGTTATAATCTTACAACCTAAATGCGGCCGTCTTGGATCACCTGTCGGTTGATCTGTCGGAATTGGTTTTACGTGGGTTTTCTGGTGGCCATGGGATTTTTTGTGTATTGTGGGCGTTTGTGTAGAAGGATCAAAGTGGACGAAATTTTAAAGAATGGTTATTCGAGTTTCACAATTTACTTAGAATTTAAGCCTAAATTTTTTTCTCTCTTGTGGATATCGAAAGTAATGGTATACAGGCTAATTCAAAATTGAATTATTGAAAAAGAATATTTGTTACTTTAGGCGCCACAAAAGCAGATAGACGATCAGAAATGAATTGACGCTAGTTTTCGTGGTGATCAAAAAAATAAGTACTGTATAGGGTCACTAATGGATATTTCTACGTTTCGCAAAAGAAAGGATCAATTCAACACACTGTTATTCTGCATTGATTGGAAGAGAGTAAAATTTGACTTTTGTTTTTTTAGCAATTATCGATGTTGCTCTAAACAGTTCATGTCTGTTATAAATGGATATACATTCTGGTACTTTGATATTGGTTCTAAAAGTATTAATGTAGCGATGTTTCAAATGTTTGTTATTATCTATATACTCTTTGGGAATTGCGCATTATATATTATTAAATATGTTGAATACGAATGTATCTTCTCTGTGCTTGATTACAAAAGCGTGAGCGGGGAATACCTATTCTATCTTACATATACATGTTCTTACATATATATATATATATTCCATTTAATTGGAAAAATAACCTTCAACCGCGTCTCTTGGCTTCCGTTTAGCAGTGCGACGAAGTTCTGTGGCATCATCTGGTCTGTAGAAACCGTTCAAGTTCAGTTGTTTGATCATGTTTCAATATGTTTATGTACAAACCAAAGACACGTACTGTATTATTTAATTATTGTGTTCTTATGTCCTTTGGTTATGGTTCATTAAATCTGTCCATAAAAAGAAATCTTTCTATAATCGGAGAACTATCCACGAAACATAGAAATATGTCCGCGTTTGTTTACAAAATGTCCGAACAGCTCTATATCATGGTTTTCTCTGCGTTATTTTGTTCGGATAAGACTTCATGAATTGACATTCTAATATACTGTATCACTTCAAGTGTTGCTATGTTAATATTCATTGCGACAACTGTTAACGTGCTTTTTATTATCAAGTTTCTTTGGAATTCTATTTATCGCAATTCACCTGCGAACTTTAAAAAGTTTTTTGTGGTTGTTGTAATAGAGAAGTCGTAAATTGCAAATTATAAATACAAATCTTTATACAGAAGTGATTTGTGAATTCAAAATTAGAGTTGATAGGTCAAAATTCGAAATTTCGGAATTCAGTCTTAGGAATTCTAGTCACAGGAAATACAATATGAAAATTAGAAATACGATTATATGCCTATTCACGGTATCTAATGCGAAAGTTTTTATACACAAATACTAAATAAATTTCCATTAGCGCAGAAATGCGTATCTTGAAGAACATCACAAACACTTTTGGATAGAATCACAAACTGACCATAAGTTTGTTTATATTTTCCTAGTCTTTAATTTATAATTTCTAAATTTCAATTTAAGAGCGTTAGTTTTCAATATCCCATAGGCTTTCAAAGTTTGCAGTCAAAATAACTGAGTTCTTAGTCCCGAATACAAATCGCACAGTTCTCTGCCGAAAATTTACAAAAGCTAAACTATCTGCATCAAAATCTTACGTACATACGGGCAGGTTACGTGTACATATGTTGACTTAAATGTATTTAGTAGAGAAATATTTTGTGTAACAATTTATACAATTTACAATTACCAGTGCAAACAGACAATTGTTCATAAATTAATAATAATGTTTCACATATTTTTGTGAGTGTTTTGATCTACTTAAAATTTTATTACAATATATGTAAATATAAAATTGTTTACGTTCTTGTCTATACAATCAAGTCTTAATTTGCAATTTACTTTTAGTAATTCTTCCTTCTACCTTTTTTTCCAATTTACAATTATAGTTTGGCAACACATTTGAATTCTTTGCATTTTCTGTGCCTTACTTCCGCCTTCACGTTTGTATATTCCAACGGATAAATTCATTTCATCATTCGAAAAAGTTATGTGATAAAAACGAGTGCACAATTAAAACACAGGAAGCGTAGATACCACGTCATTTCTGTTTCCTCCCATCCTGATATTGTATTTACAAGAGAGTTTGTAAAAGCCATAGTAGTCATTAAAAAAAAAGAAACAACGAAAAATCTGGAAGAGAAGAAAAAACGTAGATATATACATCTACTTTTGGAAAGTAAGTTTTTTATAATTCTTCCACAGTATTGAGGAAAAATTAACCAGTTTCTTTGTTTTTCTCCCTAGTATATTTTATATGAGCTAAGTCAATGTTTAGATAGGCAATATGTTTAATATCTGCCACTCTATGAGGTTAATCGCGGATATTAATAGTGGAAGTTGTTGGTATGCGTGAAGTAATCAGACATAAATTTTTTGACCGAATCTGAAATACCCGCCTGTTTAAAAAAACTTGTAGTCATTTTTGGACTAATTTTATCTCTCTTGTACTTTAGAAAGGCTCTTTTACAGTGCAAAAGTTTTTGAAATTGTGCATAAGAAGAAGTCATGAGTGTAAATAAAAACTAAATCTATGAAGGATTATATTATTTGCTTCAGTTTAACAATTTCCAATGTTATTCTGAGTAACATAAGATATGCTTTAAAAAACAATACTTTTGAAAATAATAAATTTTAGTGACGCCAGCTATTGATTGCTGCTTGAATTATAAAGTTACGTTTTTCACTAATGTTCGTTCAAAGTTATATAACAATCAGACATGTATAAAAGAGTAGTAACCACTTTAGTGACGCTGCGCTTTCAAAATAAGAGCCAATGTTTAAAACTGGGTAAAAGTTTTACCATAACGCTTTAATTGAGAAAATAAGGGGAGAGAATTAAATAACAAGAGCGCTTAAGAGAGGAAGCCACTGTAAGTTTTTCAGAATTAGTATAAAAAATTGTAAATTATTAAAAATGAGACAATACCGAAAACATTTTCCTTAGGCATTTCTAATTTAAAACTCACTTATGCAACCAAAGTAATGGGCAAAAATTTGTATTTAAAACAACTAAAAGCAGTATACTCGAGCAAAACCAACCATTAGATACCTTACATCACTTTGCTCAGTAAAACTATCTACATATTTTCGTGATAGTAAATCAAAAATTGTGCGTTATTTCCATTCAAAGGCATACTTCTCATAAAATTCTTTAAGTTGAAGGTTGCCCAAAACGTCAATTGACGTCGTACAAATTTAGCAAAATTAAAAAAGGGTTAATTTTTAGCTTGAATCCTTATATGCGGTGGTGCCCAAAAGTTAGACCTAGTTGATCTCAATGCAATGCAGTTAAGTTTTATATTAAATTACCGTTATAAAGCAATTTTTACCATAAAATATCAACAGTTGCATATTTTTGCCATATAAAAGCTTATTTTCCAAGCTTATTTCCACATTATATGAGGTAAAATTCAAAAAAATAAACATATGTCGTTCAAATTTCGTAAGGTTAACTTTAATGTCACATCTCTCTTGTGGACCTATGTTTACATTTTAAGTTTTTTAATTTACGTTGAAACTGTTACATGGAAAAAAGTCCAAAAAAATGCACCATCCGATTCAAATTTTTCGCATCAATTTAAAATGCCGAAGTTGTATTACTCAGTGGTTTTTGCAGGATAATTTTGAAATTTGCAATTTTTTTCATGTAACAACTTTTCAATATATGCCGTTATATGGCCAGTGGTCGAAACAAGGGCCCAATCCAATCCATTTTCAATAGGGGTTCAGGATTGGACCAAAAAATGCCAATGTACCAAATCTATCCAAATTTATCCTAAAAATTGCGACCTGTAGATTGCACATAAGAATACAGCGATACACAAGCTTCAGGAAATGATTCTGAATCGATCAGTATAAAAAAAAATAGGCTTATCTCAAGTCCGTCTTGGTGTTGTATACATCCGCACAACTTAACATTCTTCTTTAGTATTTAAGTATGTATCTTATGACGAATATAAATAAAGCGTTCTACTAGGGCCTTGCCCGAATATACTGTTCTTACTTGTTTTAAATTCAAATTTGTACAAACTACATTGTTTTTGCAGATATCCTTAAACTAGAGTTGCCTGAGTGAACGGAAATGGCTTCGGTGTTGCATTTTATTAATAGTTTACAATAATAATTAAATATAAGCTTAATAACTTTTTCAAATACTATTACTTTATTATTTTATATATTATTATTATTGTTATTTCAGAAAATTGTTAAAAATAGACTTCGTTTGGGCTTCCTTCTTAACAACATTTTCAAAAAAGAAGCTGGTACCGGGAGGAACTAATAACAAGAGATATCAACCTTACTTTACAATTGAAAGCTGTGTTTATCCTAGCGACTTTTAGAGATACCGATTATAGTAATCTGAAGACTACAATATGATTCCAACTGCGTGAGTTAAAGTTAGGGGCAAGTTTTTAACTACTTTAAGAATATATTCATTCATTCAAACTATATCTTAATAGTCTTTTATACTATATTATATCTAAATTAAGGAACTTATGATGCATAGGGCTGAAATGAATTTTGCAGAACAAACCTTGCAAAATAAATAGCTTCTTATGCAGTACTTCAAGGGTGGCGTGAAAAATTGTGCCTAAACGTCTTCATATTCTTACGGGAAATATTCGCTGAAATTTATCCAAGCAAAGAAGTAAAATTTTTTAATGGGAGCTGAGCGCTATAACTAAAAATTGATAGGGAAGTAAATTACATTGGCTATCTTGTCATTGGATTTTTTTTTATTGTACATGTACACGCCTATGTATAACATGTGTATACACGTAAAAACAATGCTTGCTCTTGCTTTGTAAATATTTGGAACACTTCAACGTCATTTCAAAAAAACCTTTTACCCGTAGAAATAGTGAGAAGCAAAGAGCAATAGTCAAATAGCTAATAATGTGATAGGGCTACTCTTATTATGTTAACAAAAGTCTTAAAAACTCCAAAAAAAATGTACATTATTTTCTATTTAAGAATGAAATTGGTGCTGTCTATTATATTGTTCCCAAGGTAATACCTTTTTGAAAATACTTTTAAGCCTTTTTATTAGTTTTCTCTGAAGTAAGTTTATCGGATGAGTGTTTATTTCGTACTCGTGAGTTGTATCCGCGGTTTAAGAACGAACACGAGAATGTAAATAATGACCAACTTAGGTTTATGATAACCGAAAAAGTGATCAAGACTATGTGTCAATTCATCACATATTAGCCAAAATTTTCGTTGGAATTGGATGTCACTTTATCATCAATTTATAGTATTTTAAACAAAGATTTTGCTTTCATAAGGGCGATTTTAAATTTTGCCTCGCATAACTCCGCTTTTGATAAAAAATTGCATAGGAAATCTCATATTTTTAACTGATTTTTTCCAAAAAATTACGTCTTAAACATTAAACATTTTCCGTATTCGCTTGATTTAGCACCATGCGGTTTCTGATTATGCGAAAAATGCACTTGCTGATGGAAGGAAAGACCTGGCGCCGGCTCGGCTTCTATCCAAAAAGCTTCTTCTAGTGACGGTACAACAAACTGCCACTTACAACACTATGAGTCAGAATCTATGAGTGCGCTTGTGATATGGGGTTGACAGAATGTCTGTTAAGAACGCATCTTTCCAACTCATGCAGCTATCAATAGGTCGCGCCATGACATTTATTTTGAAAAAGTTCTTTATACTTTAAAAAGTTTGCATTATATATAAATTACTAAATCGCAACAAAAGCAAGAATTTAGATTAATAATGTACTCTTCGCGTGCAGCTGCAAATACGCAATCCAATTCAATATATATAAATATGATTTTGTATAGTTTTTTCTAGCATAGTACATTTATAGACACTGCTACACTTTTCATGTATTAAAATATGTTTGCTTTATCTCACACTGCTACGTAGCTACCCTAATAGGCGGAGGATATTGTCGACCGCGCAGAATAAACTTATACTTCGTATTAGTCATTGTTAATGAGACAAAATAAAAATTAATTATCTAATTAACGCTTTTGATCAGTTTAAAGCTTGCTAATTTGGAATTGATTTTATTGCACACGCCATAGCTCCTTAAATTGAAAAAAAAAAAAACGAAAATACAACTGGTCAATACCGGAATGCAGTCCGCGAATAGATTCGCTTGACAATCTTCTCACTTAACCAAGAACTAAAAAAACATAATAAGAGAAGTGATGTGAAGAAGTTACTTTAAAAATGTTATGGAAATAAGAATGTACTAAAGTCACCTGAACAAGTTATTTTCTTACCACTGCAATATGCATACCGGTTATAGAATTATTGCACTTAATAGTTGTTGGTCCATTGTTTGCTAAACATTCGCATACGATTGTTATGATAGTTGTCAAAGTAATTCAATAGCGTTTTGATGTTGGTACTGAGGACAAACGTGCGCCCGCGCACCTGTTTGGCAGGTCTGTTGATAACGATAACGATCATTATTGATGTGGTTGGATGGTGGATGCTTACTATGGGTAGTGATCTCCAGGGTAAAACGACTATCAGTATCCGAACCCCGCCGAGCCATGGCCAGTCATCGAAGGTGTAACACTACTAACTATACCTAATTGTGTGGCTGTATTATTTGATTGTCAGTGTTGTTGTGCAGCAAATTTCATACGTTTTTGTTTTTGTCTCTGATTACAGAACCAGACCCGTACTACGTTCTTCTTCAAATCCAGTTTCTCTGCAATGGCCGCTATTTTCTCTCCAGATGGTCTAGGCTGTACCGCAAAGTACGCTTCCAGAGAACGCTTTTCGGGTGCCGCAATGGAAGTCCTTTTTCTTGAAAAAAGACTCGATATAGATTACTTTATAAATAAGAACAACCAAATTACGAGGTGAATCAATGTTGTGTCGTGTGTAGTATGTTCGCATGGACGTATTATGCAGATACCATTATACATGTATACTACGTAGATACCCATGCATATGTTTGTATGTATGCACATATACATATATAATACAAAACCAGAAAATAAATAATGTTCGCCTCTGTGTGCCGACGCTCATTTTCTATTTCTTTCTCCATTATGAGATTTTCACCGAGTTCATGTGGACTATATATTTACTTTGCACTTTTGTGTAAGCTCGATAAGCAATATGTTTACATATATATGCATATATATATATAGATAGATTTATGTATGCATACGTTCGTTATTTATCTGTAATTAAGGGACGCAATGCCAATCGGCTTTTACTTGAGGGGAATTTTTAATATCAACGGGAAGAAAGTAAATTCAACTTTATTAATTAAAAAGCTTCAACCACTTGTTTTCGAGATTTTTAGGTACCCGATGTAGAGTTAGACCTTCACGAGTTCCATATAAGATTAGACACACGACCGTAAGTAAGGATTGCTTAAGAGTCATTAAAAGTTGGGAGCGGTAATGACATTGAATAAGATCTTCTCTTGCTTTATAAATCGTTATACATTTTTTTATTATTTGTGAAGTTATATTGAGTATGTTCAATACGCACGTACACCCGGTATTTCCTTCTCTATTTACATGTTCCTTTATGCGTATGAAAAAGCGCGGAAAACGGACGTCGGTATTCTGCATGGGCTTCTCGATACTTATTTCTAAGTTGTTTTAAACGGATTATTAAAAGTATTTATTATTATTATTATTATTTATAGTAATAAATTTAGCCAAAGAATAAATTCTAAGAGTAAAGTCTTAAAGCACCAGCAACTAAGGGTTTCGGCTTTATTAAAAACTCTACCACACTTGAGATTTGAACCCACAATCATTGAGTTGCTAGTCGAGGCTCTTGCCTACTCAGCCACTCAGGCAAATTTATTAAAAGTAATTCAGTATAACAAAATATATACTTAATAGTTGTAAATGTTCCCTTTCTCCAAGTAATACTTACTAACTATGCAAAAAAACTTAATTATCTTGTTTGTCGCTTGTCGGAAATTTTTAGCAAGAAGTTTCAGTGGTTATAGAGCAATGACAGTTAGTTTTGTGTCTTTAGTTTTATCCATCCTGAAATTTAGGCGCCATTCACTTCACCATTTGGTCCTTTCTACTCCATAATAGTATGTCCAAAATGGACTCAATTAATCATCTTGCTTTTTTGCTTTACAAGAAGAAATCGCCTTTGGCCGATGCTTAAGTATAAACATTGAAAAACATTTTTCGCTAGTTTGGAATATATCAATAGTTTTATTAGTTAGTTCTAGTAAGGAATATCGTCAAATCAGTATCTGCCGTAGGGTGGAAGACACTAAGAGAAAAGCCTTAAAGTTTTTATCATTTGTTCCGAGAGTTTTACTGCTCGCGAGATGTAAGTGAGATGGTCTTGCTTAAGAGTTGATCATTTATGACCTTTAGAATTTGCAAAATAAATCATATTGCTTCTCTCGATACCAATACCACGAAACTCCAACGACACTGAATAAATGGCCGTAGCTATCAATTAAGTCACGATCGTAAGCTGCAGAGGATGCACAAATGTTTGAAAAGTTTAAGCTGAAATCTGGCTTCGTCAATTATAAACAACAACTAGGAAATAGTTTTTTTTGACCAGTTAATTAAATTTTACTATATGAAAAACGTATGACTAATCCCATTAAGAAAAGCAAACAATTAGTCATAAGCTAGAATACAAATGCATAAAGCACATCCACTGAATTTGTGTGTTTGAGTTGAAAATAGCGTTTTCGGAGAGCTAGTAAACGAGTAAATGTAAGAAAGCTGATCACGGTAAAACAGAAGTATTGTCAAATTGAGATTGATATTGTCAGTTGAGATTCATACAAACTATAGGAAATTGTTGTAATTATTCTAATTAATAGAAAAAGTTATAAATAGATCATTGAATGATGGAAATATTTTGCATTTTTAATGTATTATATTTACTTGCAATGGTATAGAGCAGAATACAGAATTCATAGTAAGGCGAATACAATTTTCCTTTTCGTTTCAAAAGCTTTCGATATATCCAAATCATTCTAAAAGTCAAATCTGAAATCTGTAGAATTTTCTTATTTTCGCGCTGCCTGCTGAAACCAGCAAAGGTTAGATCAACTTGTTTCGAGCGTCTAATTTTGATTAGAGGAATTAAACTTTTTTCGGCCCGCAGAATTTCATTTATTTATTGTTTGGAGTATAAATATAACTTACATACTTTGTTAAACTTGCGAAGAGCTTATTCAATTTAACTTATATTTTTTCGCGGGTTGGATTGAGATGATACACTTTCATTTGAATACTTTTTGTCTTACCTTTATCAATGTGAGAAAAATATTGCTACTTTTGATTACAGAAATTGCATAATTAGAACATGTGGTGTTGCTCTAATGGTATATAATAACGATATGGAAACCGTTTCGGAAATAGATGGTCGAAAAAAGAAACAACTGGGAGAATGTTTCTTTACAAGCCAAAAATATGATCGAAGTATTGCGTTCTGACTCTTGTTAAGTTATTGCGTTAATAACCAAGGTTAAGTTTCTAAGTTTTTGAAGTTTGTTTCTCTTTCCTTTTCTCTACCTCTCTTACTGTCTTAATTAAGTTTTTAGACTATGGGATTCTTGTAAGAATACCTATTATATTCTTGATGTTCAATTATTCAGGCGGTATCATAAGAAGGAAAACAAAGCACGTACTTTTATTTCTTTCAAAATAAAATTATGGCTACGTAACGAAATGTAGTCTGCGTTTGCATAAAGTATAATTTAGAGCCTATTGTGAGTCAGTTGAAAAATAGTTTGTCCACTTTATATATAATGAAATGTTACAATATTTACCATGTTAAACAAGCTCTGCGATGAGTGTTCCAACTAGTATGGTGATGATTTTAATATAAAGTGTTTGGCTTTATAAACTTATTTAATTTTAAGTAATAGATCAAGTAAAAAGCTCGTGGCGTTTTTCAAACTCACTTTTGCCATTTTTCTGGTAAGAAGGTTATGCAATCATTATACAATGAACGAAGTGATTTTCAGAGGCCTTATTTGAACGAACGACGAAGCCAAGCTTTACGACGGATGCACCCAATGTTTCAAATCGAACTGTCTCAATTTTTTCCACGAGGTTATCTAGTATTGACGAGATAAAAAATGAAGCCTTTGCTATCGATTAGTTTTGGATGCTTTATCACAATTTCACGCTTTAATCGAAGAAGTTGTTGACAGTAGAGAGTGAGATCGACTAGCTTATGATTCCTTATGGCATTTCCAATCTTGCCATACACGAAACGTCTTACGTGGCATCACGTATTTATTATCGTTGGTGTACCTTGATATGCGTTGAACCATAAACTTTTTTGCAAACTCCACATATTTCTCTTCTGAAATTGCTCCGTTAGGTTTCCTTTCAGCAGCAAGTCCCATAAAGAAATTCGATCATTTAATTTTCATTGCTCATATAAAGTTCAAATATCGAGTTTCTTCTTTGTAACTATATAAAAATACAAAAAAGGGTTAAAAATCCTTTTTAATCAATCAATGTTTAGTCACAAGCGATATCATAACATGAAATGCACTCGTCCCCTGAGTTTTCTCTTCAAAGATTTCCATCGACTTTGCCAACGATTGGTGCGGATAGTGCGGTGATGGTTTAGTGTGGAAATTTTCTATGTAGAAACACGCAAACCATTTTCGTGCTGCATCTTCAAAGAAAATATACGAGAATTTTTCACAGGCCTCTGAAGCGTTGCCGCACTGTTTGAAGTGATGTAAACTATGGCGAAGTTTAGCTCTTTTTCCAGATGCAGATTACAATCAACCGATTTAGCAAATATTGCAACGTTCCTTTTTAATTCCCTGATTTTTTCTTTATCTTTCGCACATACTGCAATATAGTTTGGAAGGTTTAGCGGTAGCAAATTGGCAAAACTGAAGTCTTAGAAACCATCCATTGGTACAACCGCCACGAACTCTTTTTCTTGACCAAATATTTATGCAGAAAGTAGTGAGTATTTAAAAATATTTTCTAATTCAGCAGTATTCGAATATTTTTTTCTTTTTGGTAGTTATATGAACGTGTTGTTAATAATACCCGTTATTTTCTATCACACGAAATAAATTTCCAAACGAATCAGTTTGTCAATAAACAAGGATGCTGCCATTTAACTTTGGTCTAGGTTCAAGCGGACACACATTCTCTATTTAAAACTTTATTTTAAATAGCTGCAAATTTTTTTGGTGTTCGAAATTAAAAAAATTCAGTTACTTCCAAAAAGAATAAAGATAAGAAAGAGCAGAAAGACAATTTGCAATTTATATTTCGTTATGGATTTGTTTTATAAAACGGCATTTACACTGACGTTGATTTTTGCTAAAATAGTGCAAAAATTATTGTGTGGTCATATGAAAAATTTTAGTAACCGAAAAATCGCGAATTTAAAAATCGTTAAATTACCTTGAAGTTCCTAAATATACTTCTCTTATTTAATTTTTCACTTTATGCCATTTCGTGAGGTGTTAGTTTTATTAATTTTTTAAGTTTTTTAAATTTTCCATAATACAGTTCCCCGCGTTTTAAAGATTACATTAGATTCGTTTTACGTTTACGCCTTCTTTTAAATATACAAAAATAAGCGGAAGTAAGGCGAGATGAACCATTTTCATACCTCACTTTAACCGAACTTCCTTGTCAATGTCTGCTATAGCTTCTATGTTGCAGAACAAATTATGTCTACATCTACATACTTTCATCTATTATGGACAGGATTATAGCTGGGATTGAAAATTTATGTTTAGATTTGTAATAAGGGTATATTCATAGAGCTTAAACTTTCTTCCTCAATCATTGTTACCCTGATTGAGAAGGTTTATTACGTACATATATAGAGATGCCTATTTTTAGCTGCTACAAGTGAAATGATTAAATTAATAATTCTATCCTTCGGTGCAGGGTATAAAAATACCTAAGCCAAACCATATATATATATACGATTATGTGTATATAATATATAAGCATATATATGTGTGTATATATGTGTATATGTACATATATACATATGTATATATGCAGTTGTGTATGTATATGTAGTATATACATATATGTATGATATATATATATATAATATATCAAAAAAAGTAGAAATGAAAATGACTAATTCTGAATTGAATTGAAAATCTTGCATATACACGAAAAATAAACTTATATTTTTTCTTAAAAATATGCAACTAAAACTTGGCTACTGTTTTCCATAATACATTTTCCTATTCACATACACTTAAAATTTCGCAGATATGAAAGCTGTACATACATATATGTTAATAAGTATATGTGTGTCAAATGCTTGGTAATGAAAGCTTCGGATTTTTATTTTTTAGCATTAACTAGAACGCTGTCTACCTTTTCTTTTCGCCTGCAGGAAGTACACTTGGAGCGTCAGGATCTCTTCTTTTATTTTTGGCTTGGGCTTCCGCCTCTTCAAGCCAGGCTTGTAAGATAGGTTTTAGCGCAATCATGTTATTGTGCGATAGCGTTAGACTTTCGAATCGGCAGATTGTACTTTGCGATAATGCCCCCACGCCGGGTAGTTTCAAATTGGCCAATGCCTTTCCCACATCGGCTTGAGTCACACCTGTTCTTGGGATATTGAGACAAACTGATACACTTATTTACCTCTTATCATTATTTCTCAAGACCTTTACCTAATTTTATTCGCCGTTGCTTAAATCGCTCCGCAAAAGCCTCCAATTCCCTGGGGTCCGTATCGGTGTCTGGATGAAGTCCAGCTGCTGCTACAGCTGCTGTTATCACTGGATGATGTACCGCAGAGTGGGTGTGATGTCCTATATGAATGGAAACAGGTGCGCCCGTAAAGGCGTACGTAGATGAGCCCGTAACGAACAATGTATATACGAATAAGTTATTTAGTTTTTGAAGCAAATGCGAAAAGCATACCAGCAGAATGTCCGCTTAAACTTCCCGGATGATGATGACTCATCATATGGTTCATGCCATGGTAAGATCCATGCAAATGTTGATGCGTAGGTGTTAGGGGAGTTTCTGAAATGGGAGCAAGTGTTGTCATAGAGCCTGTTGGATCAAGCATGTCTAACTGGTCCATGGAATGATGCATCTGAAATTTTGTAATTTAGAAAATGTGAAATAAAACATTAAAATTCGCATTTGGTTCTGAAATTAGTTTCAGCGTACTGTATTGTAGTATACAAGTAGGAATTGCCGCAATTTCAATATTTTGCGCGTAACCGGGAACTGTAAATTAACGACTTGGATGCTTTCTTCATATCATTTTCCAGTTTCACATTTGTATCGAAAGAGTCAAGATAAGAATTGTTCGCATCAGTGAACTTCCAATACTTAGCGAACATGGCACAGTTCTTTATTCCGATGCGTCGTATAAATAGGCATGGTCTTGCTTAAACTGTCCATTACTTTTTAATATTTATTATTGTATTCATTATACATTATATTTATTTACTATCTTTTATCCATTATCTATTATCAACGAAGTCTATTTTCAATACAGCACTTATATCGACTATAGAATTTTAAATTCTATACCATTTATAGTGCACGGTGTATTAATTTGATGTGAGACACAATTAATCATACCAATTGATGTAAAATCACTTTCTGAATTTAATTTGTTCTGCTCATTTTTACCATTAATGTCCGTCTATATAATATTATGTTTAATGTGTTAATCGAAATTTTCGAGATAATTTGATGCAATTTTGTCTATTGATATATTTTGGTCCCACATCGCTCCTTAATGAATTTGAATTACTTTTAATGTCGCTCCCCCCGCATCATTTTGCTTTGGAAAATGAAAAATTGTAAGATTAAAAACATTTGTAACTTTTAATATTTTTGCCAAAACATGTGAGAAACTCTTTCCGGGCGCGCCAAGCCTATCTAGAAAATCTGGACCACTTTTCTATATAATTATTTTTTCAAAGGTAAGTCTTGATTTAGCATTTTGCGATAAAAATGAAGCACAATAGCGCTTTAACAAATAAACTTATTGTGCTAAATTTCTCTTTCCACAAAGCGTTCTTTTGAAATGTATGGTATGACAATTTCTATGGTAATAACGCTTAATTTTTGTATTTAATTAGGAATAATGAGTTCTTTGATAAAAAATTAATTTTGATAAATTTATTTGTGGACCAGACCATGTCCTGTCCTTAAGATTTCTTCGAAAAGTCATATTTGTAATAGGAAAAGCTTCTTTTATTAGGCTTCCTTGCTTTACTTTCAAGCCATCACTATTGTAAAATATGACGTCTTACTCAACAAGCATATGATGCTGTGTGCTAATTGGAATATAAAAAAATTTTTATTAATCAATTTGCGCATTTTAATTCGCGTGTGCAATTCACAATTTCTGAAAATTGTGATTGGCTTGACAATTTTAAAAATTTTGATGAAGCGCACAGAAGCAAACACGTTTTTTATAGTAAAATTAGCGAAAGGTATGTGATGACATTTATACAATTTGGGCTTTCTGTTGTGCGTAGTATAATAATAAGATATTCAAGATAGCTCCGAGACGTTATGGATAGATACGCTGCCGAATTTCTTACACCGTTATATTGGCAGCATATATTAAGGAGACAACACCACCGTTTGTTCTTTTATATGGTGATATAGATCAAAATTTTCACTCACATTTTATTCTGCAATAAGTGCACGAAAATAAAAAATTCGGCTACGTCACCTCAGAGACATAATGCGTCGAAATTTATTAATATTAAATTTAAATATTTATATATATATATAACTTTCTTATTAATCATTAGGTGCTTGGATGTATTTTGATCATTTGTTCATTTGGAAAAGGAATTTACGGATAAAAATTGGTACGTACATATTAATCAAAATGTTTTCCATCATTTTGTACGACTTTTCCCCACCTTTTTGGTAAAATGGGGATATCGTATCCAAAGAACGTTGACTCCTTTCTCCACTTTTTCAGCATTGGTGGTAATGAGAAGGTGCTGCGTCTATTGAGTAGGCTGCGTGCGGCAGAACCTCTTATTCGAGTGGAACAGTGTATCCTCGGCAACTCTTGCAATGTGTGGCCGGACGTTGTCATGCAAGCGGATGACTTTGCGTGAGTTAACTTCTATTGCTAGTCTCTTTTACAAAAATGCGGCATTCAATTTTTCCATAGCGGCAGACGTCTGCCGTAACAGTTTGATTCAGTTTTAGCAGCCCATAATGCACTACTCACCATATGCCAGCAACACTTTATGGCCAGGAATTCCACTTCGGTGGCGATGTGAATGGCTTTCTTCGACTAACCCATAACTTTTTGCAATTTGGCATTGTCGTAGTGGATCCAATTTTCATCGTCACAGAAAACTTTTCTAATTTTTTTGATAAGCAATGGAACCGCGGCGTTGGGTTGATTTGAAAGAGCATTTTCAGGCAATTCGTATGGTAACAATTTCCTCTCCTTTTTGATCTTTCCCAGCGCATGTAAATATTTAGAAACAATTGATTCATCAACTGCTAAAATGTCCCATTGTTCTATAAGTGCTTGAGCTGGGTTCTCTAATAAGTCTTGTAATTCATAAGTCTTGTAATTTCTTTGGTCGTCCAGGCCGTCCCTTGTCATTGACATTAAAATCACGACTTTTAAAGCGTTGAAATCAAAATCGACGATTGGGATATGATGGCGGAGCACCGCCATAAGCTTTTGAACGTGTTTAGTGGGCTTCGGCAGCAGATTTCTTCGAATTAGACAACAAAAGTGATGAAGGTGGAAAACGCAATGTTGAGCGTTTCATGATTAGCATTTGCGTATACTGAATAACTCAATAATACTAAATGGAACACTGCTATTTTATGCAGAAAAAAGACAAAATCATCGAATGTAACCGTTGTATACTTTAATACTATGCTTTATCATTTTCACCAACAGATGTCGCTGGTCAAATATATGCACGCACCTATTACATAAATATCGAATCGTATTAAAAATTAAATTATATGAGGTAAATTTTTTAGTTCTAGCTCCGTGGTTGGTTTAGTTAAATTTTAGTCAAGTTTTTGAAAAAATTGATAACAAAAAGCTTTCAATAATAATTGCGAAATGTTCCATCTTACATTAATACTCAAAGTATCTTTGCAGAATTCTAATTTCCTTTCATTGATTTTCAAACTTTCGGGAAGTGCAAAAAAATTTATGCGTTTTTTTTTAAGTCGTTGCAAGTCGTCTCAGTCAAGTGCTGTATATAAAGATACTGTATAATTAAATAAGATGAGTCGATAAGAAAAGTAAAAGTTCATCGATATCTTTCAATAGCTTCCCTTAGGTCTATCAAATTATAAAAGAGAGTAAGAGGTATTCATATAGTTAGATAAAAAATTGGATTGCTAATGGAGTTATTAAGTAGGTAAATTAAAAACAAAGAGGATGTAAGATCACGATCTAGTGTGTCAAGTAAAGAAATTCTAGCAAGTGCGAAATAATTACACGGTATTAAAGCACTGCTTCACCATATGGAAGAAAGAGTTGGCTTCAAGGTAAACAGGCGTTAATCAATTAAACGCAATTAATTCACGTTAAGTATGCTTGGGATGCATTGTTTGTAAATAAACCCAATTCATTTGGAATCTACATTCCATATAAAAATTAGCAAATGTAGTAAAGACTTTGTTTTGTGCATTAAGAGGGAAAACCATAGCAAGAGCCTAAAAAAGGGTTTTTTTGATAATTTTGTTGGATGAAAGGAAAGGTAGCAGAACTGTAATATTCTGGGAGGTTGTCAGACGTATGTTTAAGTATAAAAAAAAAAAATTCTCATGGAAAAATATTAAAAAATCGCAATATTAAAGCCATTCCAACGGGGCATTTCCAATGTCGGGGGCTCTGCGACACCCAGTATGACAGTTTCAAATTTAAAAAAAAAATTATTTAATCGAAATATCTATTATCTAAAGAATCATGTAGGGGTTTTTTAAAAAAAACATTGAATTTTGTCTGATTGGCAAGTCGTTAAATGAAAAGTTCAACTTATCGAAAATACCCTGCAGAGAACGTCGTTTAAAAGATACTGTAAAAAGATCAAATGGAAAAAATGAAAGTTATTGGAGTTGAGTTGCTGCGTGCCGTTTTTAAAAATTGCGTTTCAATATGATGACGTCCTACAAACATGTTTTTTGTCACAACACTTTTTTTTAAATATTTTTTATTATAACACATTTCCAGCGTTATGTGCTTACTGCTGTAATTAATTTAGGTAGAGAATTAGATTTTAAGACTAAAGTTTTAAAGCACAACCATCTAAGACTTTTGGCTTTATTGAAAACTCTACCACTCTTGAGATTTGAATCCAGCATTATAAAAATTCGTGGACGTTTTCAAATATTCTTTTTCTAGAAGTGTTTCGAACTCTATTGACGCTGCCTATATTTCTACGAACATCTATTGAGTTAAATTTTTTTTATTTCTTAACACAAGAAAACCCACAAAAGCGTTATTTTTCTCTAAAATATTTTGTTCGGATGTAGTCATTAACAAAAAGGAGTTAAGTTCATTTTTGATTGGATTGTGTTTCTTAACTAAAATAATAAATTTTAAAACATATTCTAAAGTTCTTAAAAGACAATAGTATGTATCGTATATATAAGTATATATATATATACATGGGCTGTGCTTAATGAAATGCTATATAATCTGCCAAGTTTCAAAATGTCATTCTCCGCTTAAACACAAGTATTAGTATTAATCTTTAAACGAAATATACTGAAAATCATTTACAGATAGAAGTTCCCTCTTCAAACTTCAGTGTATGATAGGGAAAAATCCTTTTTAAGCTTAATAAAGCTTTTTTGAAGTTCAATAAAAACATATATCGAGGGAGAATTTCTGAGCTCATGGGCATTTATGTTGAACATATCTTTCATATTTTGAATAAGGGATTAATCAAAAGGGATCCGACGAAGAGCGATTTTCAGCAAAAGTTTTTAAGTTAAATTCAAAATAGAATACTTATCGAAGTTTTCCCTCTGATCGTGAATAAAGATTGATTTCACAACTAGGATCCTTCGATCACTTTGACAAGAAATCGCTTCGTCCAATTCAAGGAAAGCCAAAAGAAGAAG